AGATCAGGCCAAAAATGGAGTACTGTTGCCATATATGGACAGGAGCTGCCCAGTTCTTATTTTCCAGTCTGAACAGAGTCCAAAATTATCAGAGTCCTTGTAGGTGACAAAAATATTTTCCACTTCTCTCACAAAGACGGGGGAGGGGGGAGGGGGCAAGCCTCTCACTGGTCTATTGCTACTTCCATGGAAAGTGCTCAGACAAATTGCATTGGTTCTGCTATTTATAACCTTCATGGCAAAGACCCACTATGCCACCCACCTTGTAGCAAACTACCTGATGAGAAGTATGTTCCACTTAAACAGCTTCTTCCATGAACCACTGCTATGTGGAACTGACTGCCAAGAGGAAGTTTCCCTGATCACTAAAATCTTAACCTGTTCAAGTTTAGGGTTAACCATTAACTTCACCACCTATCTGCATAGGCTCTGCATCATACTGTAACTCTGTACCTCAAGTGGCCCCAGGGGCTCTGTACAGGATGAATCTCAATGTAAAAATGATGAAAGCATTATTGCTTCACTATTGCCTCTGATATGTTTTTCTTCAATCTTTTCTCACAAAAAAAAGAGTGGTCCATTATTTATCCAAGGTAATGGCCGGGTGTAACACACATTAATTACTAATGGAGCAAGAAACCAAACTCTAATATCAACAAAAAAAAAAAAAAAAAATTGCATTTTATTTTCTTTAACTAAACCAAACACTTTTCTAGATTATCCAGTAGAGCAAAAGAGAGATCTATGATGCACAAGGTCATTTGGAAGGGCCTATTAGCAAAGATCAGTCTTATTCTCCATACATTGTAAAATGAGCATGCTAACCCCCAAGAATAAATATTAACAATTTTTCTTTTAATAAAAATGTGTAGGTGATGAATATACTTTCTCAGAAACTGAATAGAATGGCAGAAAAACAGGTATGAGACACATCAAGGTGTGGAGAAAAAGTGAAAGAAGACATGACTTTCAAGAAGAAAAGGTTATATAAACAATGTCATTTAATACCTAACAAGTAAAATAAGAGACTAATTCATTCACATTCATTAGTGATCGACATGTTTTAACCATCACTAATTTGTAATTTTCATTTTACTGTTAATCTTATCAGCAAATACCTTCTTTTTTTTTTTTTGTCTATCTCATAACTCATGGACAGCTTGATCTATGGCTGCCAAATATCCTGCAGAGAATGTTTTTAGCATTTCAAAATTTAAAAAAAAAATTCTGATGATGATTATGATGATAATGATATGGAACCTGTTACTGATTAAAACTGCAAGAATATTGATTAAAATCCTGATGATAAAATCATGGAAGATGATAATTAGGTCTGTGAGGATAGTTAATAGAAAGAAAAAATGTGGAGATGTTTCTAGCTGCATTTCTGGGATGAGGAGTTATCATTTACATGCAGACTATTGTTATCAACAACAAAGATGAGGACAATTATAGTCTGCGTGTAAATATTGTGGAGGATTGTTTGTTTAATGGCATATCAACTCCTTATGAGTCATTTAATGCTGAAATTTAATTTTCTTAGGAGCTTTAGTAATTTTTTGTTTTTACTATTAAAATCTATTGCTGGAAATTGTTCTTTTTTTTTTTTTTTTTTTTAAAAATCTATTGCCTGTATTTACTATAAAAATGTTTTATACCTTCATAGTGTTTTGACCCCAGTTTGGGTGTTCACTATTTGCCCATAGCTGGGACCCTAACAGGTGTGACCACACCAGGTCAGGATGCACCTGGGAACAACAGCAAGGGGTGGTTTCATGCTCCTCAAAACCTTCTGATCAGAAGCATTGCTGCCAGATGTACTTTATAAGCCATATCACATTTAAACACCAGTTCTTGTATACTCACCAAATTTAAGCAATGTCAAGTTTGGTCAGTACCTAGATGTGTAACCGCTTAGGAATATCAGGTGCTGTAAGCTTGGGTATAATGGATAATGGCTTGGAATTGTCAATCAGAGAGCTCAGTCCCAGTTGGGTTCATTATGATCATTTACATGCAAATACCCTTGGGAAAAGTATGAATCTATCTCTTCTCTCCCCTCTATAGGTTAATTAGTAAAACATGTATTACTAAAACCTTTGTGATCTCAAAAAAAAAAATAAATAAAAATAAATAAATAAAATGGGGTACAAAATATCTAACTTTCAACATTAAATAACTCAAAGAGGTTGATATGCCGCTAAACAAAAACAATCAACCTAAACAGGAAACAAGCGATATACCCCTATTCATTTTTATTTTATTTCATTATATTTATGTTCACCATGTGCATTTTAGTCCTAATTATGCAAATGCTTATTCTGACTTATACGAAAAATCAACTTAGAATGCATAGTAGAATAGGATTCTGTCATAAGTCGAGGGCCCCCTGTATTTATCACGTAGTTTAATTCTAGTTGGGACTGGATGATCTTTTTGAATCACAATGCCACAGAGAATTTTATGTCTTATACTCCAAGACAAATTCTAGACCTACCATTATTCTCTATCAGTGATTCTTAACTATTGTGCCATGTGATCATCTTAAGTAGTTGCAAAAATATGATTGGATTCAAAATCCCTTCATGAATGTTTCTTCTATTAGACTTCAGTTATGTGATGAAGAATTAGCCACCATTTCTATTTGATTGAGAGCTCAAAATAAAGCATTCGACAGTACTGATTGATACATTTTGGATTTCAATACAAAAGGAATATCCCACAGTAGTTAAAAAGGCTTTGTCAGTTTATATTGCAATTTTCTACTTTTTATTTATGTGAATTAAGCTTCTCAACCTTAAATAACCTTAAAAATAAGAAGCAAGAAAGACTACGCTCAACTGAAGGGGTCTGCTTTCTGCACATTCCACCAAAAATTGAAGAAATCGCAAACAAAAAAACACCAGGTACTGGTTTCACACTAAATAAGCTGCACAAATATTTGGATAGAAACATTGAAATAAAATAAGTTCATATATTTTTTTTAAATCTATGGTTTTATTTAGAAGAGCAATAATCTTCAATTAAGTGTCGATTCAATAAATACAGAGTTCAAATACATGATCTCTTATTGAGACCAAATTCACCCAAACCCGCCCCATAAATATCAGCTCTCAATGTTCAACCTGCTGTAACCCGCCCCATGTATACTCTGTCATAATATATGATGACATCATCACAAATAATGCAGGAAGTCACGCAAACAGTGAGACTGAGAGTTGATATTTGCATGGTGGGTTTGAGAAAGTTGATTGCTAACAGATCCAAAAAATGGCTTTAAGCTAGTTTTGTTGTGTTTCAGGTGACATGACAATCTGGATATATGAAAGAAAATAAACATTTAAACTAGTGAATGTGTGTGAAGTTTATGTAGTAGTAGTCCTAAAAAAAAGTAAATAACAGTGAGGTGAAAGGTGAGTGCATGCCCCAGTGGGGACGTTTTTCTCCACATGTGGTCTACATCTTACAGTCACTGAGAAAAATAGGAAAGAGAGGATGACAGAGAATGTCACTGTCTATTTAAGGGAAATGCACAAACATAGTTGTAGATATCTGTGTCAAACCAGAGTAAAGTCGATAATGCCTAGCAGTCTGGTATATTTGTGTTTGTTTTAAAATTTGTTTTAAGTGGAGTGCAGCATGTGTGTGACTTAGCTCAACAAAAATTGGTGTGTAGTTAGAGATATATGTTTTCTAATAATTGTTTAAATTTAGCTTTAATCTCTAACTGTACATAAATTGTGTTTTTCTGCTACAGGTGTAATATAAGTCAAGAGTGAGTTGAGGTTGGGGAAAATACTGAACTAATTGTTCTCTTAAGAATTACAGGATAACAGGCAGAGAAGGGAAAGAGACAGGGTGAAATAAAACTAAGTAATGATTAGTGAGGCTATGGCCTCAGAAACCACAATACAGTAGACAGCATATAACTTCTGGAACAAAATGCACCAAGGGAATGTCTTCAAATGACACTGAGTGTCGCCAACTGCTCACTGCTGGTTTACCACCTATCACTTTTGATGACATAAGACAACTGACAAAGACCCAGATTTGGACAAGTTGCAGAGAGGACTGTATCTGAACATGCAAAGCTGTTCTGCTGCTAACAGGTAAAAACCCAGATGTGACTAGATTAATCAGATATGTCTGCACATGATTCAGAGCCTCTTTTGTGTCTGTACTGAGTCACGTTCACCACAAGTTTTCATAATAATGATAAGAATAATGTGTAGTTGGAAACCCACCTAGAAAATTAAAAGAGCACTTCAGGAATTGGGACCAAGATTGTAGATCTCCTGAAAACTGGCATCATTTACTCTGCAAGGATTCCCTGAAATTTCTTGAGTTATGAGGAATCCTGTTGACACCATACCTCAAGAACAGAATTTTTTTTTTAATCAATGTACCCTAATGTTATATTCTGTGCTAAGGGAGTAAATACTTAACAGCAGGTGGATAATAGAAGAAAGGTTTATTGTACACAACCAGTACAATATGAAATACAGTACAGTTATACACACAGGTCAATCTAGTAGTGAGTGCCACTAATTGAAAGGTCGGATGTGCTTGCGTTTTCTCGCTCTCACTCTTCAAGTCTCTTGTAGATGGTTGGCTTTATAGGTACATACTACCTATAGCATAATCATTCATGGGGGTGACTGGTTATTCCATTACATCACCTAAGCAAGGCAATAATGCCACTAAGATGTAAGACGTTATTGGGAGTGAAAGGGAATGAGAAGTCATTGGAAAAAACTGGAAACCCAAGTCTAAACAGGAAACAGAGGATAAATCTCAGCTCCAAAAGACCTGGGAGAAGAGTTGAACAGGAGTAGAGAATTTCCATTGATTATGTCCATATGCAATACTAACATAAAACTAATAATTAAAAAAAAAAAAAAAAAAAACTAAAATAGAAACAACAAAAAAGTTTAAAAATTAACAAAATATGGCAAAAATACAAAGAAAACATTGAACATTATTGTTTGATAACGACTAACCATTGGGTTTCTTTCAGCACCAACCAAAGCTTTAACAGCACCAGATTTTAAATCAAAACTTCGAATACTTGAACTTTCACAGTCAGCAATAAACACTAATCGTTTGGATGGTGAATAGGAAAGACCCGAGGGCTGAGCAAAAGAAGCCTTCTCTGGATAAGTATTATTACGGTTCTCTTCGTTTCCACTGCCAGCCACCCTGATACATGTACCCTCAGGATACTTCCTAAATAAGCAGAAAAATTAAAAACTCGTTATGAATTAAAAAAAAAAAAAAAATTAAGGTAAAGAAGATTGCATATTCTGAAGAAGTCTGTAGAATAAATTGGTTGAAACATTGCAATAACAAAGACAAGAAAAACGTGTTCAGTTGCCTTAGTGACTGTTGGAATGATAATGAATCTTTTACAACTGTTGTGGGTACAAAGTTTTATTAGAGTTTTAAAAAAGGACATTTTAAAAGTATATCTAAATATAAACAAAAAATATAAAACAAAGTGAGAGGAAGGGGAAAGATAAGAAAAAAAAACTCGCCTTAAAGTGATGGATTGAAAAGTATAACAACAAAGGAAGAAAGAACAAAAAGGTCTGACCTGTTATCAGTCCTCACTCTTCAGAGCTCAATTGGGGACAAAAACATAAATAAGTGCACAATGACTAAAAAAGAATAAATACTTTCAGAAAATCAAGAGAGAGTGAGGAGCAATAACTGGTTAGCTCATTTTTGTTATATTTTTCGGCAATCTTGGACCAGTGTGTACAAAAGAAAAACAAAAAAAAAAATCAGAGTGCCAAAAGGATGGTTTTTCCCTTGACACCACTATTAGTTAAACTACTGACACTCTTTGACAATGTCCAGCATTTTAAAAAGCACTGATTAGAACTGTAATAAAACTTAAACATATACTAAAGGTTAACATATTTTTTCTTTAGAATTTACCACAAAAATATTAAATACTATTTATTTACGAGATTGTTTATTTACAAGAATAATTCAACTAGAAGTGAATCTTTATTATTTGCCATTTTATAAAATTTTAATCAATTAGCAATTAACCGATGTTTTGCCAACCATTCCAATAAACAACCTAACAGTATTTATTTTTGTTGTGATTTCTCAACAACAAAGAAAATGCATAAATTTACTTCATAAGTTTAGGTTTTATTACAATTTTAATCATTGCCAAGGAGTGAAGGTAGTAAAAATAATAGTGGTGTCAAGGAAAAGAAATCATTCGTTTGACACACTGTTGTTTTTGCAGGCACAAATGTCTAAGATTTGGCTATTTTTCTATTCACCACTTTACAGTAAATTTTCATCTTATCCTTCCTCTTCCTTTGTTTTATGTATTTATTCTTGTATATATTTATATATACTTTTAAAATGTCCATTTTAAAAGCCCTAATAAAATCCTTTATGTTTTTAAATAATGATGTAGCCATTTACAAATCAATATTTTACTGAACAAATTTATTTATTTTTTTTTTATTTGCTTCCTTGGTACCTCTTCCTTATCCAGGGTGGCCGCTCATATTCCAACCTGAAAATCGCCGACATATCACTGACTGACATGAAATATCTTTGACGAGGAAACATGTCAAATGATAATGGTAAAATGGTCGATCATCAATGGTAGCTCAAAGGTTACCAATTAAAAGAAAGTATTTTGGGGTTTTATTGCTGGTAATATTTTGTTTTGTCAAAAATCTGTTTCTGGTAATATATTTCCTTCAAAATTGTATTGCTGGTAATAGTTAACTATTTGCCCATAGTTGGGACCCTAACAGGTGCTACCACCCCAGGTCATGGTGGACCTGGGAACACCAGCAATTAAGAGGGGGGTTCCATGCTCCTCAAAACCTCCTGATCAGAGGCCTTGCTGCTGGACGTAGTTTAACGTCTTACCCAGGATGCGGATGTCGTTTAATATCTTACCTCGGACAACATTTTTTGCTTATGAGTTCTATCCTAACTAGATGCCCATTAATTCACCTACCTGCCCACACAGGCCAAGTAAGTAAAGCCCTAAATAAGCACCTAGATATATGAGAAATAGCATTTCGGTTCTCATTTTGGCATTTATTTTCAACTTCTCTTTTGATAATGCAGCCTTTCTCAGTTTTTGCTGGACACTTACAAGAAAGAGAATAGAAACACAACATGGGGGTATCCTCAAAAAAAATCGATGAAACACTGAGTAAGGGTCACATTGTATGTTTACATACTTATAGTGTAGATCAGTATTTCTCAGTCTGTGTTCCCTGGAACCCAGGGGTTTCACAAGAGGTTGTGAGGGGTTCCACGAGAAACACTAATAAATAGGCTAATACATTTTTCAGTCATTTTTGTTAATTTTCTTGTACGGCATATTGTTGGCAAATCCTTAGTTATTATAATAAAGACTTTAACCTCTTATATTATTTAAAATTATAATAATCATAGGGAATGTATTTATCAATGTATGTGTGGTGTCAGTGTGAAACCACTTTCATTGGTTAGTGGACAGGACCTCTATGTGGAGGATTTGTGTCTCATTGAGTGACTCACTCGAATGCAACAGTAATGTCTATATATTATGTTTATCACTTGAACTATGATAAGAATATAAAAGATAGATATTAATGATGGTACATAATAATTTTTATGCAAGGGGAATAAAGTCACAAATTGATTTATGTGAAACAGAGGCAACATCTCAAATGTCCCCGATATGTCTGAGCACTGGCCACCCTATTATATCCGGAATATCAACTGGTTAAATCAAAGAATATCATTTGTCTAACTTGGTTTAAATTTAACAGGTGCCTTAATAGGTACCTCCACGAAATTTCTAAAAAAAGAGCATAGCTTGATGAAAAAGACGCCAACCTTGCCGAAAACAAAATTTTATTGTCTAAATGCTTATGTTATTATTAAGAGGAAAGACCAAAGTTTTTTTTAATTATTTTTAAAAAATTTTCCTTCTTTTTAGAACATTCTAAATTTTGATTAAAAAACCTTGTTTCTATTTGTATCAGCGGAACTAGTAAATAACATAGACAATTTTTAGCACGTTTTTTTGGTATGACACACATTAATTTGAAAAATCGTGCAAAAATAGAAATAATTATCGGATGTTAATGAAACTTTCAGGAACTATTCACAGATGATCGAAATTATTATAAATATGTTTTTTTTTATGAAAGTCATGGTAGAAATATTTTTTTAAAATATTTATTACCCCCATAACTAATTTTTTTATGAAAACGCTAGAAATTCTATCGCATCGGTTTTAGTGATTACAATAATTAAAAGCACAGGGCTTTGAGGAATGCAAATCATGTTTTTTTTTGTTTTTAATTGGATACCCAGTACCTGAAAATCAGCTCTGAATTGTAACATACAAAACTCAATAAAACAAAGATATTATTTAATTTCAAATGCTTTTATTTGCTTTTAGTTGTTTTTATGAATATGGACAATATTTTCTGAAAGCAAAAAAATTTTTTCGATGAAAAATGAATTTTTAATACAATTATTTGTTATTTCATTAATTATAATACATTTTACATTTAAGTTGTTAAAATCTTATAAAATTAGTTAAAAGTCAAGACAGGCTTTCATAAGTGTCCTTATGAGATAGATCTTTTTTTTTAGCGTTGTAAATTGTATCATTTTGACTAATCAGAAGATCCACAGTAATTAAGAAATGTAATTTTGTGCTTATAACCGAGCTGTAATTATAAAGTACGGAAGACCAACCAGAATATAATTAAGTTGCGTTATTTGAGTTAAGCATTGTTCTCCGCTGTTAAGGCCTTTTACTTTTTTGAAACATGTGTGGAGAAGTTAATTTGATTTTTCAATTTCAACTGAGAAGGGTACCTACAAGTATCAGTATCATCTTATGAAATTTATATGATCTTATTTTTATATTAATCTCAGTTACGGCATTTTTCCATAAATGAAATATCAAAATTAATAATAAAATGAATGCAAATACAAATAACAGTAAAATATAATAAATGTACATAAAATTATAGTATTTTATGTACAATTCTGATAAAATTTCATAAGAAAGGTACCTATAAATTAATTAGATACCTTTCTTAAGAAATATGAAATTTAATGTCACTCTTAACAGTTTTATTTTAATTTCTTCAGAATATATTTCCCATAAAGCATCATAAACGTAAAGGTGAAAGCTAAGTACAAAAAAAAAAAAATTAGACCGCTGAAAGTTTTCGTTAAAAATAACGAGGTAAATAATTTGTTCACGTAAATGTAAATTATCTCACTTTTCTCCTTCCATAGAACAAATTAGCCTCATGGAATTCATAAATATATCATTCATCACATGTCAAGAGACGCGAAAGTTTATGACCTGCTTTGATTTATTTTCAAATTACATCTTTTTGGCACAAAAGCTAAGTTTGGTCCAAAATATTTTAAATAAACATTATAATTTCTGATTTTCTTAAAATAAGTTTTGAAAAAATGATAATTGATATTCAAAAAAATTTCAAAGTCAGATTTCCAGTTTTTTTTAAAATGGAAAAAAATGGTCAATTTTGCTGACTCAAAAAAAACTAGATTTTTAACGAAAATTTTCGGACATGCTAGGAACGATTAAAAAATGGAAAAAAATACCCCAAAATACTTTGACCTTTCCTCTTAATAATAACAAACATTTAGACGATAAAATTTTGTTTTCGTCAAGTTTGGCGTCTTTTTCATCATACTATGCTCTTTTTTTAGCGATCTCGTGGAGGTACCTATGTTTTAGAGATATCTATCGAGACACATTCGTGAACAGTCCTTTATCTGGAAGCATTCAGTTGTGACAGTGAGTACCATGTAAATAAAAAAGTTTTTTTTTTGTTTTTTTTAAATAACTTACTTTCCTTTAAACCATAGGCCGTCCTTGAGAAAATAAGCCCAAATCTGATGGCTTCCAGCCAAAGCTATTAACAGAATATTATTTTCTTCAGCATCTGCAGAAATAGATTCATAAATTTAGAATAAAAATGAAATCCCCCACTCCAAATAACAATAGAAAATAAAATAACAATGAAAATTTTAAAAACACAACACAAAAGACATTGAACTAAAACATTGATACATACATAGCCATATTTTTTTTTATTGAGGCAGGGCTGGGATTAATTTTGTGCAAAGCAAGGTGGTTCCTACCTGACAGAGGATTGTCATAATGATTAAAGGTAAAGTTTTACAAGGCCAGAAGATTATATAAGAATATAGATCTTACCTTATCACTCACTCACTATCAAAAAAACAACAGCCCCTCCCTAATTGATGCAACCCCCTCTGACTAAATCTTTACTTTAATATCATCCTCTTAAGGAATTTCAGGTAAATCTCGGTATTCCTGATAATATAACTAGACCTTAATGGTGTAGATGGATGGTATGTATATGTGTGTACATATGTGTATATGGGTAAATATATGTAAGTGTATGTAGGTATGTATATGTGTTGTACAACATGATTTATTCCATTGGGTATCTCAGTTTTACTTTTTAATATCTAATATTACTAGGATCCACCTGGATTATATACCAATGGATCTATTAGCTGTACTATATATATATATATATATATATATGAAAATTTCTCCGATTTAACCAGTAGAGAAGACAATATTTATGAATAAAAATGACAATAGAAAAACTGGTAATTGCTGACGTGTTTCGTCCAATGTGGATCAAAACAAAATATGAAAATGAAATTAAATGAACAAACTAATAAAATATATATATATATATATATATATAAAAGGCAGGATGTGTGTGTAATGAATGCACACCCGCAAATTTTGATGAATTTGCACCAAAATTTACATGCACATGCTCCAAGTTAGTGGGAAGGCCAACACTGACTTTACATTTCCCAACTCCCATCGATAGTGGAAATAATCGATTTTTTTATGCTTCTACAGCAGTTGTCATCTAGTTTGTGACCATTTTGTACTGGCCAGAGTGAGAGCCAATAGCTGGCTGCCACGAATAGGCAAGAAGATTCTATGGGCCAGCGTGAGAGCCAACAGCTGACTGACACAAATGTTAACTAGCATGCTAGCATGCAAAAAAAAAAAAAAATCGATAGCTGCATTCGTCACAAGTGGGAAAAATTTAAATCTGCACTTTACTCCAATTGGCTCATTCGCTTGCTTAAACTCAACGTTGATTCTGATTCCGCAGAACTGGGTTGGGTGTAAAAAAGTATTTGTTGTTAACATTCTTTTTTCATTCGGTTTTTCCAGTTATGAGTCCTTTTTTTAAAGCTGATCATTTTGTGTTCATTTTGTTTAGTTCTTTTTTCGTAACAGATTTAATGTTTAGTATAGAGCTTAGAAAAAATTCGCAGTGTGAGATAGGCAAGAAGTAAGGCATGTAGCAACATCAGTATGGCAAAGGGCACTCCTTTAAAGGCAAGGAAGGGCAAAAATATTTTAAGTGATAGTGATTGCTGTATGAGTTGTACGATTTTTTAATCAAGCACGGACAACACCGGGCCATGCTGCTAGTATATTTGTGTATTTAGGCAGCAATAATTCTTTCATGCACATTTCATTGAATATAACAGACAAGGTGCTTTTATTTAGTTTTTTATACTTTTATTTTAGTTTTTTTTTTATAAATTTCAGAAAGTATTGGGAGGGTTCCTAGGTAAGTTGTAAGTGACCTCATCTGCCCTGGGCAGATGTTCCCCAGCCCAACTAAATAGCCTATGTTGGTGTTAGTATTTTTGTTAACGATTGGCACATCAACACCTTCATTCATGAATTACTTACCAGGTGTTTTGTGCTCAGTAAAGATATTATTCAAAATGTCAAAAAGTCCTGCATTTATATAATTTTTGTAAGTAGTGATCATGCTTTTTTTGTACACATACAGAAAGTAGAGAACATTCATCATCATCTTGCGGCCTCAGCCGAGATTGAACTCACCAATACTTTGATTGGTGTAGTTCATAATCTTGTCAAATAGCTGAATTCTTGATGCTTTACTAGGGCTATCAAGGGTGTTTTTATCGCGACACCAACACTAAATGGATTGCCAACCAAGGCTCAGAGAGACTCCATTCACCCTCCTCTAAGAGCAGGTTTGAATTCAGAGTTTTCCTTCTCCTAGACCAGTTGCCATCCAAGGCTATAGAACCCAGTCTAGCTGGAGGGAGAAGAAAGAAGATTCACACCTTTCCTAAGGGCGTTAGCACGTAAGTGAATGTAATGGATTCGACTGGAATTCGAACTCGGCTCTCCGATTCCTCAATCCAAGCCGCTATCCATTACTCCACTGTGCCTACAGAACATTATTTTTATGTGAAATCTTCATTTCACCACATAACTATCTGTGTGAACTAGTGCCATTACTTGCATCTTTATGTACACAAAATGTATTAAATTTTATATAAAACTTCTTTCAGGGTATATGTTATTTACATAAAACTACCTTCAAGGTATATGTATAAGCTGTGTTATGAAGTGTAAAGGGATATTGTGTTTATGATTGGGTTCCATTGCCAAGCTGGCCCATTTTAAAAGTTGCTATATACAAATTTGAGGAGGCATGAGGGAGTAATGGATAGTGGCTCGGATTGAGGAATCAGAGAGCCAAGTTCAAATTCCTGTCAAATCCATTACATTCACTTACATGCTAATACCCTTGAGAAAGGTATGAATCCTCTTCTCACCCCAGCTATGGGTAAATAGCAGGACAGACTGAGTTCTATAACCTTCGATGACAACTAGTTTACTACAGAAAGAAATGGCAGCCTACTACTAGTAAAAAATCTGCCTCGTCAGTCATGTATCGAAAGATACATGATCACCTAAGTGTATCATGCATGGCAAATAACTGACTGATATACAAATTAAATAGACTGTATTCTAAAATCTGACAACTGAAGCACTTCCAGTTCCAAGGACTTCGGGTAAAGGATTCTCAACCTGTAATGGTAAAATCTGTCAAAATGAGTACCTGTAGCAATAGTAATAAGCTTAAAATGGAATAGATGGAATTAGTATACCAAGTGGACGAGATCTTGATAGTATTCAAAACATGATATGAATAGATGTTGAAATACTAACAAGAACATTTTCTTGCTTATCATTCAGATATAAATTGTGTGTTTAGTGAAGTTACTTTTTATCTCTCAAATTATTATTTTATTACCATCACCTCATAAGTGTTTTACATTTTTAAAGTTTCTATATAGATACAGAATACTGACCAACTCACTGTGTTCATCATATCTAGTTTTCTCACATCTGCTCATTGAGAAGCACCCTCTCTCGACTGAGAAAAACACTGGTGTTATATAGCTCTCCAAGTCCCAGACCACACTGACTATTGGCTAATACCTGTCTAGTATCGCTCACATGCAAATAGGCAGTGCCACCTACTCTAAGTAAGTTTTCTGTCAACAGCCCATTATGGAAGGGGACGCAACTCTGGTTCTTATAGCACCACATTCAACCAATTCAAAGTCTTTTATTGGGCTGACCCGACTCTCTGTTACACTTACCTAAAGAAGGGACTAGAAGCAAGTCGAAAGGTGATGATAATTCTTGCTGAGTTCCAATATTACCACCTTCTTTGTCCTTACCCTGGAATCCAGTGCCTACCAAAGTCGTTACTTGTTTCAAAGAAAAATCCACCTGACAATAAAAAGTATTGTGTGAGAATAGAAATCAAAAAACATGTGAGAATAGAAATTAAAAATGATATATTGTGTGAGAATAGTAAGAGCTTGGTGGAAAACTCTGTCAAATGTAAGATCTGTAATACAATTCTCAAAAGTTTATCAGATGCTGTCAATCTATCTTTTGTTAGAAAACTCATGTAAAATATTAACTTATTTCCTCACAGAAAAATTTATAATAGCCTAATAGTTTTTTTCAGGTTAGTTATGGTGAAGACCATTCACTCATTCATGGTGCTATAGGGAAAAAAATACAGGCCTCACGTTTTTTGCTGACAAAAAAAATAAACAAACAAGATAAATTTTGTCATCTTGACTTTTGACAATGCTATTGAGCTGTATTATTTGTCTAAAATCATTACTGGCATTAATTTTCAAAATAAATAATAAATCTTTGATTTCCTCTTATTTTTGCTTTTTTTTTTTTTCAAAACATTAGCCTCTAAAATTTTTATAAAAGTCATTGATGCAGAAAAAGTCTATAGGTCTTATTTCAGAAAATACATACAAATAAACAACAAAAAAGTGTATTCAAAATAAAAACAAAAAAAAAATTGTTTGCAGTAGGATAATAGATGCAAAAAATATTCATTTAACACAATGGCTATCAAGCCTCATTTCCCCTGTCGTCCCAGGGTCCCAAAACCTATATCTTAAATCCTGTTATAGTGGAATGAGGAAAACAATAAGTGCAAAGGAAGAAAACAAAAAATGAGATCCATTTTATGCTGAATGTAAAGATAACCCTTCTCTTTGCCTTATAAAATTAGAATCAATTCAATTTTTCTTAGTTGTGTCGTAGTATGTGCTTTCATGTTTTTTTCTTTTATATCTTGTCAAGAAATCAGATATTAGTAATATAATGTTTTTTTTTATTTATTAGGAATATGATTTCTATTAGATTAGAATTCTTGTTAATTTTCCTGGTTCTAAGCATTATTTTGTAATCTAAGCATTATTTTGGTTTCCTAAGTAAATAAAGTATACTTTTTTTTAATTTCATAATGTTTTGCCAATTAAATTTTCTGTTTACTCAATCTTTTAGTTTACCTGAATCCATGGTACTGATATGTGTATTTAAAAATAAAAAAAATACCTCCCCCCCCAAAAAAACAACAGTAGAACTTCCAAAAGGAAAATGAAATAAAAGAAAAAAATCTAAAATATTTAATTCTTTTTGAAAAAAAAAAAAAAAAAAAAAAAAAAATGTGGTTCTGGTATACCATGATCTCATAAGTAATCAATCATAGTATCCCACTCCTAATAATCCTCATAGAGAAGACATTGGAAAATGACCCACCAAGGGAGGATCAGATGAGAAAAATCTTAATTCAGGGGGTCCTTAAAACTTAACATATGATCTAGCCTCCCCCACCCAAACTACACATACTTTTAACTTAGTGGGGATCTTCAACAGACATATTCAAAATAAGATTTAGAGTCTCTGAAACAAAGTAAACAGACATTTTTTTATTGCTTCAAGGAACTAACTTCATTTACTAGCTTTGGTAAAAAGCATAAACCAACTGTTCCTTGCCTAGCTATGGGTAAAATGGCAGTGTAAACTGAGCTTTCCAGCCTTGGCCGAGAACTAGTCTCAACAAAGGGTAACTCTGAATTCAAACCCAATCCCAAACGTGAATAAAGGAAAACAGTTGGGTGGTGTAGACCACCCAATAAAAATTCATTTGCTACTTAAACTGCAGCAGCATCACCCACCCATAGAGTGGTGTGGTTGCAGGCCTATGCGCCATGAGGAGTCTATAAGGAATAAATAATAAAATAAGCAGTGAAATATTAAAATAAATAAAAAAAAATGGCCAAACATACTTTTCGGATTGAGTGATTGTCTGTATCTGCAACATAAAGTATGTGGCCATCCAGGATCAATCCTTGGGGATTAGAAAACCTTGCTGTGGTGAATGATCCATCATGGAAGCCCTTTTGTAAACCTCCAATACTCATCTGTAAATAATAAAGAAAAAAAAGCAATGTGAAATTGATAGCAATAACAAAACAAAGATCTTTGATAAAAACACTTCTATTGATATGGAGATTGTTAACGTGGAATGAACACACCACCAATTAGAGTGCAAGGAAAGTGGCGACAAAAAGTGGGTGTCAAAAATAGGCATTCAGTTTTGAGGTGGGTACATTCAGACTTTCACTTGAAAGTTTTAGAGACAATATAAAGAGTGTTCTAGTAATTTAGACCGATTTTAAATGTGAATTAAGTTTAAGAGTCTAATGTTTTTCTTCTTTTTCTTTACGATTTGGCTGACATTGGGGCAATATTATTTTTTTTACACATAATCGCCATGACTTAAATAATATGATCCAATAGAGAAAGAAATAAATTTTCACCAATAACACTGATTTATTTATTGCTAACTTTGATCTGTCTGAATTAAATATCCTTATATATAATCTGTCTTAATGAAACATCCTTTATATTAAGTTTTTACAGCTCTCCTTCTGCAAACAGAAGGAGTAGCACTTAGGTCTGAATGTAATTTGCCTGTGATATGTTCATATACATGTACTTTTTTTTAATCAATTCACCCCAAACAAGGTGATAATGACACTAAGATTCAAAAGGTCATTGAGAGTGATAGAGAATGAAAAGGACTTTAGAAGGAACTGGAAAGCCAATCCTAAACAGAAAGCATGGAATAAACCTCTACTCCTGTTCAAAAGATCAGGAAAGAGTATAAACCGGATAATAGACAAATCTATTTACTACTGAGGGAAAAAAAAAATAAATAGTAAATAAAATTTAAATGAAGATGTTAGACATATAGAGTTGAAATAGACTTTAGAAGGAATAGGGGATCTACTCCTGAACAGGAAACAAGGGATAAGCCTATACTCATGTTCAAAAGACCAGAGAGGAGCATGAACCGGGCGATAGGCAAACCTATCTATAATGTGGGTATCTTGTCTTCATAAATTTCCTATATTTTAGTCACTGTGCACACTCCTTTTAATTCCTTGATCAAGTTCTGAAGAGGAGTAAAAACTTGTCAGCCATTTTTTTTTATTTGCTATCTAGTGTCCATAAATTTTATCCTTACTCTTTTTTTTTAAATCTTTGCTTTACTGCCTATAATAAAATTTTGAACCACCAAGAAAATATTTATTTGCAAACTACTCATGTGAGTTAATCTGGAAATTGGATTATTTTTTATTTTACTGAATTATTTTTGATTTTATTGAATTATTGAATTTTTTGATTGTAATATTATCTTATACAATGTTTTTTTTATAATCATTTCACATCAAGCATGGGAATAAAGCGACTAAAACTCAAGGGGTCACTAAGAACGAAAGACAATAAAGTGCAAGAAACTGAAAAAAAGGCTACTGACCAGAAGGACAATAAAAGAACAGGATTCATTGACAAAGGATGATGAATGATGATTGATATTGTATTTAAATTTGAAGGCTTATGGCCACATCTTATTGAAATACCAATTTCCATACATAGACCAAGAGAGAGAGGCCGGGGGGGCCGGGAACTGGGGGAGAAAGACCAGAGAGAGAGAGAGAGAGACCCGGGGGGGAGAGAGAGAGAAAAGACCAAGTGGGGAGAGAAAAAGACCAAGTGGGGGAAAGACCAAGGGGGGGAGAGAGAGAGAAAGACCAAGTGGGGGGGGAGAGAGAGAGAAAGACCAAGTGGGGGAGAGAGAGAGAGAAAGACCAAGTGGGGGAGAGAGAGAGAGAAAGACCAAGTGGGGGAGAGAGAGAGAGAAAGACAAGTGGGGAGAGAGAGAGAGAAAAGACCAAGTGGGGAGAGAGAGAAAGACCAAGAGAGAGAGACCAAGTGGGGAGAGAGAGAGAGAAAGACCAAGTGGGGGAGAGAGAGAAAGACCAAGAGAGAGAGAAAAAGACCAAGTGGGGGAGAGAGAGAGAGAAGAAAGACCAGAGAAAGACCAAGTGGGGAGAGAGAGAGAGAAAGACCAAGTGGGGAGAGAGAGAGAGAAAGACCCAAGTGGGGAGAGAGAGAGAGAAGAGACCAAGTGGGGGGAGAGAGAGAGAAAGACCAAGTGGGGGAGAGAGAGAGAAAAGACCAAGTGGGGAGAGAGAGAAAGACCAAGTGGGGGAGAGAGAGAGAAAGACCAAGTGGGGGAGAGAGAGAGAGAAAGACCAAGTGGGGGAGAGAGAGAGAGACCAGACCAAGTGGGGAGAGAGAGAGAAAAGACCAAGTGGGGAGAGAGAGAGAAAGACCAAGGGAGAGAGAGAGAGAAAAGACCAAGTGGGGGAGAGAGAGAGAGAGAAAGACCAAGGGAGGAGAGAGAGAGAGAGACCAAGGGGGAGAGAGAGAGAAAAGACCAAGTGGGGAGAAAGACCAAGAGGAAGAGAGAGAGAAAGACCAAGTGGGGAGAGAGAGAGAAAAAGACCAAGTGGGGGAGAGAGAGAGAAAGACCAAGTGGGGAGAGAGAGAAAGAGAGAGAGAGAAGACCAAGTGGGGAGAGAGAGAGAGAAAGACCAAGTGGGGGAGAGAGAGAGAAAAGACCAAGAAGAGAGAGAGAAAGACCAAGTGGGGAGAGAGAGAGAGAAAGACCAAGTGGGGGAGAGAGAGAGAAAGACCAAGTGGGGAGAGAGAGAGAAAGACCAAGAGAGAGAGAGAGAAAGACCAAGTAAGAGAGAGAGAAAGAGAGAGAGAGAGAAAAGACCAAGGGGGAGAGAGAGAGAGAAAGACCAAGGGGGAGAGAGAGAAAGACCAAGGGGGAGAGAGAGAGAGAAAGACCAAGTGGGGGGAAGAGAAAGACCAAGTGGGGAGAGAGAGAGAGAAGACCAAGGGGAGAGAGAGAGAGAGAAGACCCAAGGGGGAGAGAGAGAAAGACCAAGGGGAGAGAGAGAGAAAGACTAAGGGGAGAGAGAGAGAGAGAAAGACTAAGGGGAGAGAGAGAGAGAAAGACTAAGGGGGGAGAGAGAGAAAGACTAAGGGGGAGAGAGAGAAAGACTAAGGGGAGAGAGAGAAAGACTAAGGGGGAGAGAGAGAGAGAGACCAAGGGGGAAAGACCTAAGGGGAGAGAGAGAAAGACTAAGGGAGAGAGAGAAAGACTAAGGAGAGAGAGAAAGACTAAGGGGAGAGAGAGAGACCAAGGGGGGAAAGACCAGGGGGTGAGAGAGAGAGAGAGAGAAAGACCAAGAGAGGGAGGGAGAGAAAAAAAAAACAAAGAAAGAGAGAGATAGAAAAACCAAGAGAAAGTGAGAGAAGGAAAACCTAGAAAGAAAAAAAAATCAAAAACAATGGAAGTTCCTACCTGAACACAACCTTTTGAAGTATCACATACAAGAATCCTATTGTTGCCACTGTCAGCAATATACAATTTGGAACCATTGGAATTCACGCACAACTTTCCTGGAAACTGTAAGAAATTATTTTTTTCTCTGTCTTTTTCCAAACTGATTGGCAGGCTGTGGGACTGGATTGTTTGGCTTTCTTTGTAATAATCAAGTGTAATCTGTACAAATTCCAGCAGCTTTTCCCTGTTACCCTCACCAGCAAAGGAATGTATATATTGATTCTCTGGTCCTAGAAGTACAAATGTTGGCCAACAGTTTATCAAAAGTTCATTCCATAGAAAGGCATCGGGATCGTTGACAACTGGATGGTGGATACTGTGCCGCAGCACAGCATTTCGAACATTGTCCAAGACTTTTTCATTCTGGAATTTGGCAGAGTGGACGCCAACTACCACAACTCCTTCCTCAACACTGTATTTCTGCTCCAGGGCTTCAAGATCTGGTATGACGTGCATACAGTTCATACAGCAATAAGTAAAGAAATCAAGCACAGCCACTTTGCCCATCAAGTGTTCGGACATAGTTAATGGTGAAGAATTGAGCCATTCCGAGCCTTTGAAAATCCCAAGCAAAAAAAAAAAAAAAAAAAAGTATTAATTAGGTCTACAATTATTATAAGAATCAGAAGTAAACATCTATTGCAAAAAATATATGTAATACTGGAGTGTAAGTTAGTAAGCAATGGTTTAATTCTTTTTTTCTTTAGATGAAACATTTTTACCGACTTTTGTCTAAGTCTCTGATCTGACATACACTATAGGCCAAAAGTCTGGGGTCACCCTCTGGATTTATCTAAAAATTAAAAGGTCCAAATTACAGAGAACTAATATTATTTACAAATTTACATGTCCCTTAAGGAACTGTGTTCCTGACCAATCCAAATTTGTAAATAATTATACAGGATATACAACATGTCTAACAAGAAGACTCGCGTTACATCTCTCTGACCATAGCTCATCTAAGTTTCATTTAAATACACATAGAGAGCTACAAGCTTCTATCCATAACATACTCATTGATAATACAAATATAATAGCCTCATCCACATGTACAAAAAGGCTAAGAATAATAGAAGCATTATTAATAATAAAAGAAAATGCCAACAGTCAATAATATCAACTATAAACACGGCCACAATGTGCTGATCATGTTTGGAAAATAAAACATTCCTATAACCCTTGATACATGCATAAAACTATCCATATATTCAGCTAAAAGTAAACTAAAATTCATACTTGATAATGGCTAAAAAGTATAGCCGAAAGTGCTTAGAAAACATTCGGACAATTTTTACATAATTTATGTCCAGAAAAGAAAAATATTATACAAACATGAGAAATTATATAAAAAAAAACTCAACCAAAGCACCTTGTCAGTCGTTTTCAACAAAACTTGCTTAAATTAAATCTCAATCATTGGTGTAAAAACTTCCATTAAGATGCAAACTTTCGAGCAGCCATTACCAGATGCTTTCAAAGATTTTTACTTCTGTCTCATGTCCCTTCTGAACATGACTCTCCACAACTTTCCATCCTTCATAGCTCTCTAAGCAATACTTATCTCCTTACTATCCCTCCCAGTTCCACCATCCATTTATGATTTAATTTTTAATTTTACTTTAGGTTTTTCAATAAACGGTGATATCTCAAGGAGGTAATATTTGTTTTTTTAAATTTGGTAAAAGTCTAGAATCGGCACCGTAATTCGAGAATTAAAATTTTTTATATCGTTTATTGTTTTTAATACATTTTCAAATACATTTTTTTAAATTTTTTCTAAATATATTCACATTCATGCAGATGCTTGTTAGTTCCTTTTTCTTTGAGAAAACACTTTTATATGAAGCCAGCTATTCTCTATTGTTTGTGTATGAACTAAATATTCATGTAAGACTGTAAATCAACAAAATTATTTTCTTGCATTTTTAACTTTGTGACTATCTTATCAACATTTCCTTTTTTTCCCCACCTATATTTATATGTTATAAATTAATTAAACTAAGCAAAACTATTAGTATTTAAAGGATGAGAAATTTTGGCAGATTTTAACATTATCCCGTTTTTTTTTCTTTTTCATCCAATGAGTGATTTCCACATACTAAATCTCAAAAAAAAAAAAAATTATATAAAAATTCTATATAATGTTTGCACCACCTGTCTAGTAATTTCTGCCTGTGTTCCTGCTTGCATACATCATCCATTGATATACTAAGCTACTCTACCCCATCATCTTCTTTACAGTATGTCCTTCACAAATATATGATTGTTCTTAATAAAAGAATTCCATTGATAAAAACTTCTTGTGTGGTCATTGCTCAGGGTTAAATTGCTTCAATGTTTTAGATATTCAGTAAATTTCCTATGGCCATAATAACTTTCAAATAGTTTGGCATTGTTCACAAATTTAATAATCAGACAAAAACAGGGATGACGCATCAGAGCTTGATTCAACTGCAAGTGCAAATGCATGAATGCCCCCCCCCCACCTTCTCCACACATTTACTGTAAAGTTGGGGCTAATAAGCTGTTCTTCGGGAATTTTTCCCTCTTAACGCTTCAATAACCCTTCAAAAACAATCTTTGCATCAAAGGTGGTTCAGATGCCAATTTAGGATGGAATCATATGAAGAAACTATTGGCTAAATGGCAAAAGCCAATTTTAGACCTAGTTTGTAGCAGATTTTGTCTACTTAACTGAAATAATCTAAACCAAACATTCATACAAGACAATTCGTGTGTCATATGTAAATTACATGGCAAATTTGGAAAGAATCAGGTGAAAACCTAGGGAGTTATGGCCAAAAAACAGGCTTTTTGAACATTTTTTCATCATTCTTCATTATATATGGGGAAGCAAGCAGGACTAAAAAACACAATCTTATTTTGTGCATGATGGCAAATTTTTTGCTATGTTTGAAGAAAATTGGATAAAAAATAAGGAAGATATTCAAGTTTTTATTTTAAGTAGTACAAAAAAGTTTGATTTTTTCAGGGAATCTTTGCAATTATTTATGTGAAGCCAATGTTGCAGGAAAACTATCAAGTACTCTACATAAACCATGTAACATGAGCTGATGTTTGACATTAAGTGCAAAGAATATCAGCTCATCCAGTAAAAATTTTGCTCATGTGTAAATTTGTCTTGATTTTTACAAAAAGGCATACCCACTTTCAGTTTTATCAATTTTTCTGCCAAACCCTGGGTTCCTGGAGATTAAAAAGTTGGTCTTGACCTACTTCGGTAAATTTGCAACAGGTGTGTATAATTTCATCAAAATTGGTTGAGAAATGTGGATGTGCATAAATAGCAGACAGACACACACATCCTCTGTTTTATAGATATAGACTAATTTCATGATTAGCTACATCAATAATTAAATGTATAATGTTTCTTATGGGAATATTTCATAGCACAAAGATTACAGGCACAAAAATAACTGACCAATTGATTTGCAATGCAGAGATAATATTTATTAAAACAAAATTAACAAAAGTAAAGTTAAAACGAGTTTCTTTTGTCAGAAGTAAATTGCATACACAACAAAATGTTCTTGAATATGTGTCACTTACTATGGATGTGTTTTAGTGTGAAGCATTTCATAGCTTTTTTAGCTTCAGTGTGGAAAGTTCATATCACAGTTTGAAAAAAGAACCCGGAAGAAAAGAGAGTTACTTTTGGGTTCACATAATTTTATATTTGAGCTTCTGCTGATACAAGGTTTATTTACCTACAGCCAGGGTTGCCAGATTGTTCTTTTTATGCCAAATTTCTGAAATCTGGCCTTTTCATGTTGGATTAGTGCCAGAGAATTGATTTGCCTTTTTGCTTTACATGGTAAAAAATATACTAAACAGTATAGTACAGTTACTATGCTACAATTGTTTTATCCTCAGTGATGCGACTGAATTATAGATTTTGGCCCTTATCATCATATCTTGAATCCAGAAGGGGAATGGATACCAGAAATTCATTGTTAAAAAAAAGAAAAATAATAATAATGATCTTTTTTGCAAATCTATGCCAAATTTCTCTTTCATAATTCTTTATTATATAAATAAACAAAAACCTTTCACATGCTCAACCCTCTTCTTCTCCAAAGTCTCTGTCAACTTAATATTAATTTCTTTAAATGAAAAAAAGTCTTCTTATGGATACATATACTAAAAAAATGAATAATTAATAAAACGGTTATTATCATTATTTAATAAGTTAGGTAAAAAAAATATATATTCAATTAAAAATTTAAGTTCCATTAAATTTATCTACAAACGTTTTTAATCATAAAGTTAGTAAAGTATTAGAATTCTAAAAACAAAAAAATACAAAAAATAAGGTTTTTCCAGCGAAACAAACTTGTTTGAGTTTGACTCAAAAAATGTTACCTTAAAATTAAATTTCTGAATTTACACCTAAAAAAACAAAAAAGAAACTTCACTCTACAAAAATTGAAGAAATAATAAAGTGATTTCATTATAAAACGCCTAAAATCCCACTATGTGTTAAAATTAATCTCATGTTTATTTGGCTTTTTTTCTGATTTTAAATTAATCTGGCAACCCTGGTAGGGCAGCTACTGCTACTAAAAGGCACTACACTACCTAATGTAAATTGAAATGTCGTAGGTTGAGGAGAGGGATGTCCGCATCATAGATTGGGGTGGGTGGGAATTGCACGAGATCCTTGCACTGGCCCTACCGACTAGCATCTGACAATTTTAAACAATTACTTATAAACTAAACAAAAAATGAATTTAATTCCACGATTAAATCGATAGCTTGTCTTTAAATTTAGAAAAATTAACCAAATAATAATAAAAAAAATGTTCTTAAAAGATATTTTTTTACTTTTTGAAAAAAAGAGAAAAGGAATTCGTATTTTGTTTTCTTTTTAATTGAACAATTTGGAGAAAAAAAAAAACATTGTCGAAAACGAAAATTGTTTATAATTAAAAAGTAAATATTTCGAAGTTTAAGTTGTTTATTTTTAAAGTGAAATTGTCGGAAAAAGATCTTGCAAACTAAACAGAAAGTCTTCTTTATTGTTGGAATTATGCCAAAGAAAACTGAAGAATTTTTTGGTAAATTTGCAAATAATGCTCCAGTGACAATTATAAAAAAATAATTCTAGGTGTAAAATCGCCTGATTATTCCAAAAATAGCATAAAAAATTATCTGAAATCCACCGTTTTGGAGATATTGGCAATCTTAGTTGGGTCCCGGTTACCCTCGATTACTGCGTGAAAGTTTACTGGCCTCGATAATTTGGGGCATTATCTGTAATCAAGACTAAACTTCCGCACAGTAATCGATGGTAACCGGGACACAACTAAGATTGTCAATATCTCCTAAACAGTAAATTTCAGACAATTTTGAATACTATTTTTGCAATAACCAGGCGATTTTATTCTCAGACAAAGAATGATTTTTTTTTTTTCTTAATTTGTCAAAGAGGCATTATCTGCAAATTTTTAAAATTCACGAAAGAAAGAAACTAAAAATTGAATGGTAATCAAAATCATACAATTTGTTATACTGGACAATAAAACAATGAAAAAAATTTACTATTTTTTTTTTAAATATACTTAATAAAACTTAAGTAGATTTTAAATCGCACCCACATCGCTTATATGACACAAGGTCGGGCGAGGTTTAAAGTGGGTTTAAAACGGCAATATCCTAAGAAAAGTCCCCCTCAGGAGCCGGGTAATGACCCGAAGCCTTTCCTGAAGTAGAGGTACTGACTGGGTAGATGGCCCTCTGGAGGTTATGCTTTAATTCCTTTTTTGAAACTACCCAACTGGAGCCAGGTCAGTATACTTAAAAAGTCATGTAATTAAAAATCTATTTTTAGTCATAAAAATGACAAACTAAAAACAGAAGAAAAAAATTCAAACCAGAATTTTTCATATTTTATTTCTTTTGCTTTTTTTTTTTTAAATCAAAATTCGTAATATATAAATAAAATAAATACTGATTCATCTAAATTTAGATAACTTTTGCAAACTATATTGTTACCTTTTTTAAGACTAAAAAGTTAAAAATTAAAACATTCAATTGTAGAGTTATTATTATTCGTATCTTCTCTTGTCAGTTGGGAGGTTTTGGAAAGAGAATCTCACTAGTGTAATACAGTATATTTTTAATTAATTATTTTACATTGGGTATCGCAGATTTTATTAGGCAACCTATTGGGAGAATGTTAATAATAATAGTTATTTCCAACACTTAAACTCAACAAACATCTGTTTCCGAAGGAAGTGAATAAACCGTTACCACCGATCAATAAAAGAGTATTAAACAAATTATTCTAACATTCAAGAATTAAACATTTTGCAAGCCTTATCTAAATGGACACAATCAAAACGACCAAATGCAATGTTATTGTTTTGTTACGACTATTGTCAGTGTCAGTTCGATGAAGTCTTTATCGAGCTGACATTATCTTTTTACTTTAACAATTAATAACCCAATATTTAAACGAAATATATGGCTCTACGAACCTCTAGGAAACTCCGGCACAATGAATTTAAACTTGGAACTGGTTAGGTGAAGATGTTCTATTATCATGCCTCTCCTTTCTTCGGAGTTAACAGCTTCCTCTAACTTTATTTCTAACTCCCCACATAACTCCAGGATATTGTTCAAATCGGCCATCGCCATCTTGGAGCACGTGTTAAAGGGAGACTACTCTCGAATACCTTACAAAATCTCTCTCAACAAAAAAAAAAAATATGTGCAATTATGGCTCTCCACAACTTCCTATTCGTCATAGCTCTACGTAATGTTTGTCTCCTTACTATCCCTCGAACTCCTCGTTTTTCTATCCATTTACACAAGTTTGTTAGATAATTTACTCACTGTTTCTATCTTGTCTTTAATTATGTCCTGTAAGTGCCAAATTCTTCAAACCCACTTTTCTTATGTGACTTAGTCATGTGGTTCATTAGCTGATTGTCTGATGGAGCTCACATTCATTTTCATCTGGTTTCTTCGGTGGTAATTTAATTTATTATTTCCGTAATCATGTTACTCTGCATATCATCTAAGGCTGGTAGTATTTCTGTTACAATCCTATCTGGTCCTGCTAATTTGTTCTTGTTCATCTCAGTATTGATCTTAACTCAAACTTTAATATTTCAAGTTTGAAAGGATTTTTTTATCGTGGAGAGTGGGAGAAGAAAGGACATCACCTCTCTCTTTCTGATTGTCCTTAACCCTTTGAGATCTGACCACCGCTTTACCAGTGATAGAGAAAAATGCCCAGCCACCAGTTGAATGGTGAGTAAACACTTGTAACTATTTTTATATCTACTGTGAAACATTACATACCAATTGCAAATTTTGACTCAGGAGCTCAGGCAGAAAGGTTAAAATTGTTCAGGAACACAGGGCTCACAGAGTTAAGGTGCAAATGCAATAAACAAGACTCAAAACTCTCTAATAAAATTTGAACATAATTTACATTTATTGACAAAATATTAACAAACAGTATACAAAATGTACAAATAAGATTGCACAAAATTTTCCTTTTGTGCACCTTATTATTATTAAGACAAGAAAACCAGTTTAAAAAATTACAATTTTTAGCTCATAGAAGTTTATATAAATTTTTTTTCAACAAAATTTTTATTTACATACATACTCTCAACAGTCAAAAGATTTTTTGAAATGGTACAACAATATAATTCCTTTCAAAAAAGGTTCACTTACTTATTTAAAGGTCATAACTGAGAAGGTTGACAGATTCACCAGTCACTGGTGAATTTTTTCTCAAGAGAAATCACAATAATATTGAGATAAATCTTGTATTCTTTTTTATAAACAGCTCAATAAGTAATTTCAGCAATTTTTCACCTTTCTTTTCTGGTTTATTTTTCTTCTGCTTCTGTCTTCTTTTCCTTCTTACTTCTTTTGTAAGAAACAGAAAGTTCATCCACTACCAAAATTCTTTCTTATTTAGGGAATTTTTCACAAATAATTCTCTACCGAAATCCTACTATATTTATGTTATTTCCAACTAACACAACTCATTATATAAACCCCAGTAGGCTCCAGAGTCCCAAATTTTAATTTGCATGGAAGTAAGTCACCCTCCTCATTGATTAAAAAATTCAAAAGTATACCCTTTTTAAAATTTGAAATACAGATCTTTCACATTAACAAATCATCCATCTTATTTTGGCAGTTTTTTTTTTTGATCTATTCTTTTTTTAGAAAGTTTAAAAAACAATTATTTCAGATCAAATTTATTAGTTATTTTTACTAACTATCTGGCTTTCTTTTAATTTTTCTAAACACTACTCTTAAAAGCAAAACTAAACTACCAACATGTCAAAGACCAAGGTCCTGCTCCAACCATGACAAGGACGTCAACCACCACCTGAAGCCCAAATCACCAACAATTGACTGGACCAAGAGAATTTTGTACAATTTTCATACCTAAGTAGTGTACTAATATCAAATGCATCCACTGAAAAAGACCTTGGTAACCGAATTAAGTCCATTCGTGCAATATATGGGAAATTATTCAAAAAAGATTTTGGCAATCCTTGGCTAACATAAACCACTAAGCTCATGGTCTAACAAGCTGTTGTAATCTTTATTTTCCTGTATGTCTGTGAGACCTGGGTACTCTACCGAAGAGACATCTGCAAACTTGAAAGATTCCATAAAATGAAACTTTGTAAAATCCTGAGGAACAGGTGGCAAGATTGAATCATAAACAACAAAGTTCTTCTCCACATAAAGATTGAGAGCTGAGAAACCATCAGGACTTGCTACTGACTTTGATATGCCAGACACCTTACCCAAATGCCTGACAAATCCTCTTCCTCTTGAAGCTTGCATCTGGCAAGAGACCACATGCAGCCCCACATTGTCAATTCAAGGATCAGGTCAAAACTGTTGCTGAGGACAAATCATTTGTCAATTAGGAGATTGAAGCTGCAGAAAAAAACAGTTGAAGAGTAGTCCATGAAAAAACAATATCCTTCAAAAACACCAGAAGACAAATAGAAGTGACAAAGAAAACCCCCCAAAAAGCCAGAGCTCATCATCCCTTGAGCTCTATCCTACCATATGGTGGCTACAGACATCTCTTCAGATTCAACATAGAACTCATTTCAAACAGATGGAAATGTTGATGAGCACCTCAATATTCTACCAATGACAATATATAATATAATATTTACTTTTTTATCTTCAACTTTTTATTAATAGTTTATTGAATTTACATTTGTTTAATATAAATTTTTATCTTTTAAGAAAGAAACATAGTTTATTAAATTAGTTTTTTATTATTTTATATTTATCTTTTAATTATTTTATATTTTTCTTCTTTATGTACTGTGTTCCCTCAGGATGTAGACGATCATGGCTCTCCACAAGTTTCTGTTTCTTGTTGCTCTTAATAAACTTTGTCTTTTTGCCATTTCTCCTAAGCCCTGTTCTGCTATCCATTTCATCAAGCTCACTATGTATGTTATGCACTGTTTTACTCAGTCCCTCTTGCCCTCTGTCTTGTGTGTATCAGATTTTCCAAGTCTTCCTTCCTTATTATGTGTCTCAGAAAGCTCAACTGTCTCTTCCTGATGTTAATTATTAGTATCATTTTTTCACATTTCATACACAGACACACTACAGCTAAGTACATTAATCTGTATATGCATAAATATAATTTCTCTTTCACAATCATTAGCTCGTTAGATTTTATACATCATGTTGAGGAACATATCTCTTGTCCTGTTATTTTTTAAATTCTTTTATGTGTAGGGATTACTTTACCTTGTCTGGGGTCCAATTGGTAATGATGGAATGTAACTAGTTTGGTTTTTGAGGTTTTGAATAAAGAAAATGAAGCTGGGGGGATTCATGGTTAACTATGTCTTGAATGGACATAGAACAAAAAATCCAATTTAGCTCAGCATGAACGAAATATATAGCATATATTGCAATTCGCATGTTTTTGAAGTGAGAGTTTTAGCTAGCATCAAAAGAGAATTGGCAAGATGTTCTGTTCTAGTTTTGTACAAATGCCTTTAGAGATGTCAAAAAATCAACTTGCCTTTCCCCAACTATAGGTTAAATAGTTGTGCTTTCTAGCTTTGGATGGCTACTAGCTTAAGAGAAAAAATTCCAAATTTTAAACCACAAGGAAGGCGACAGGAAACACCTTCACTGACATTCTCAAGAATGCATGGTGTTAAATAACACTTTAGCAGACTATTATTTTTTAGAGAACTGTATCGCTGTTCTGACTTCCTGAGGCTGACCTTAGGGATCAGATACAAGACAAAATAAAGAAAGTCAATTTTAATTGGCTGAACTAGCATGGGAATGATAGGAAATGCTTTTTCAGTGAGTTGAGTCTTAACGGTCAAACAATGTAGATGTTTTTCTTTCATGTCTGAAATGTCTCTCCAGAGCAAACCCACTGGACAGGTTGACGTTAATAAAATAGCTTAAGTTAAAATTCCCTGTGTTGAAGTTCTTTTCATCTCTGAACACAAACTGGCTAGTGATCATAGGCTGGGAGAAAGCAAGAGAGAGAAGATACAACATATGAATAAATTGGTGCCGATGACCAAAACCTCCCCATAACAAGGGGTAGTATAAAACATTGTATTAATTGGCACAGTGATCAAGACCTCCTAGCATGTTGGGGCTACACAACACATGGCAATAAAGAAAAGAAATCCATAGAGTTCCATGATTGTCTGCAGCCAGAAAAGACTTGGCAATAAAAAAGAGAAAAACATTTTTTTTTTAAAATCAAGTACCATAATCCTTTGAGTATAAGATGCAGTTTTTTTCTTTTTTTTTTCATCCAAAATCATGTCCAAATATCTGTTTTGTCTTATAATTTAGTTTAGAACTCAATCCCATTTTTTCCAGGACTCAAAATGGACAAAATCGGATCAAATTGGATTTATTTGTTTATCAGAGAGATACTATCTATAATGTTATATTCAACTTTGTTCTAGTAACTCCTATGACAACATCGGTGCCAAACTGTATTGTATTCTATTTTTCACTTAGAGAACATCAGTAGTATGGCGGAGAGATGGGCAACTTTCGATCACTCATAAAACCCTACCAAGACCTGCACACTGGAGAGGACATCCCAGCATCACCTCACTGTGATGACAAAACACAAGAAACAACAGTCTACTCATGGGAGGATTCTGAAGGTCCTTCTGTATGGTGAACTGACCACCAGCAAGAGGCACAATGGTGATCTCATCTTTGATTCCAGGACTCAAAATGGAGAAAATTGGGTCAAATAGAATTTATTTGTTTACCAGAAAGATAAAATCTATCTAATGGCATATTGCAACAAAAGGAAATAAATCTTTCGTAATTAAAACCAAAACAAACAAATGTGTTAATATTTATTCAATTTTATTTGGATTTATTTTTTTCAATGTGTATTGTTGATTTAGTAGTCTTATACCCCAAGAGTCATTATCACATTTTCATAATGCTTATAGGAATTAAAACCTGTCTATATTTCTGAGATGAGGTATTATGTACACTATTTACATTATTCAGACTATTGTCCTCATCTTTGTCGCCATATTTATTACAACGTTTCGGCCCTTAAGTATCTGTCTATATTTCTGAGATGAGGTATTATGTACACTATTTATATTATTCGGACT